GTCCTCCTCGCGGATACGGATCTGGTGGAGGCCACTACGAAGGTCGATCTTGGTAAAGTACTTGGCTCCACGGAGACGATCAAGGAGCTCGAAAATCCGAGGTAAGGGGTACTTGTTCTTGATCGTGATCCGGTTCAAGGCGCGGTAGTCTGTGCACATGCGGAGCTCCGAAGTTCCACCTTTCTTGACGAAAAGGCAGCTGGTTCCGAAGGGGGATGAACTTGGCTTAATGAACCCTTTTTCAAGGAGTTCACCGAGTTGCCGTTTCATTTCTTCGGCTTCGGGGACAGAGAGTTGGTATGGAGGGCGGCAAGGTGGAGAATGTCCGGRTTCCAAATCGATGGTATGCGATACGCCACGATCTGGAGGTAGTCCGGCGGGTAAGGACTCGGGAAAGACGTCCCTGAACTCGTCGAAGATTGAAGTGATGGCGGAGTTGGAGGGCGGGGCTTGATCGGGTTTGTCCGTCGGGAGTAAGTCCTTGGGACTTTCGCGATCAAGGACAAAACAGTAGTAGGCGGAGTCGGGGTTTAGGCGAGCCATGTGGAGGAATTGGTGCGGGGTGACGAAGTCTTGGGAGGTCGGATATGGGAGATAGGGGATGTCAATGGTTGTGTCGGGGGGGTTGGTGAGGCGAAGGAAGTTGGGGTGGAATGCGTATGGCATGTAGCGGTCCAGCCACGGGGTTCCTAAGACGATGTCGCACATCAAGTGCATGACATCAAACGAGACCTGACTGCCGAGGGTTCCAACGGTCATGATGGTCTCGGGAACCGTGCGGTCTACTACGACGGCGGTGTCTTTGTCCCCTAGGCGAATCGTGATCGGGGAGTCATAGCCGGTAGAGGTAAGCTTGGCTTTGCGGACACACGCGTCGGTGATGAAGTTACCGGTGGTTCCAATGTCAAGGAGGGCCCGGAACTTAGTTGTAGACGCACCAAGGGTGGCAGCGATGAATTTGAGGTGGAAACGAGATGAGTTGGCGGTGGAGATGATGGTGTTGAGGCGGCGTTGTTCGTTGCCTAAGCGGACAAGCCGATCGTGTCGGGGTTGTTCCTCAACAACATCGAAGAAGGTGATAGTGGATGCATTTGGAGGAAGGGTAGAGGAGCATGAGGCAGTGGGAGGTGTTTGCGACGCCTGGGAATTGTCCGGTGGAGGGGGCGTCGCCGGAGTCGATCGTGGTGGAGCATGCGAGAGAGGATGTCAGCAAGGGGCATGTCGGGTTCGTGGGCGAGGGCGGTTGCAAGGTCTTTGTGGCATACTCGTTTAATGCGGGAGATGAACGCACAGTCGGGGATGACGGTGTGGGGGAGGG